ACTACAAGATGTTTAACTGACAAAAAGCGTAATTAATACCATTTTACATATAATCACTAGCATTAATAATAAAATTCTTATGTAATAATAGTAAGTGTCAAGTTTAAACTATGACCTTACTAACTTGAGAATGTTCAGTCTCTGTATCCAATTACCATTTTTAAATATTTAGTAAAATATAGTAACTTTGTGCTAGAAATTTAACGGCTTATTTACTGACTGAATTACTATTAGTTTTTAGTACTGACTAATTGGTCATTTATTATTAACAGCCTAATGTTTACTGACTTTTATTGATGTTTATAGTTTACACGAAGTGAAATTCGGGAAACTATTGAAAATCAAGAAGTAGATAGCTGTATCATCCTAGTGAGCCGTATATACCCACTATCCCACTGAGGATTGAATATAAAATCTTCAGAGCTTCCGACAAGCTCCTCATCGTTACATCACTGTGTTATCATCCGATGCCTAATATCACTATTGATTGGTCACTGGGTGGTGATCAATGTCATATGTATCAAGTCGTTATTTAGTGCAGATCGAATGCTATCGATCATGTTGCAAAGTGGCCACCAGTCTAGGTGACTTGACACTGCGTGCACTATATATATTGAGACTAGATGGTGGTTGTAGGCAGTCGACAGGAAACCCTGAACCCGGGTTTCGTGCTACTTGGCACTCGTCAGCAAGGTGTGCCTGTAATCTTAAGGGAACTGGTGCTCCCTGGCGGATTCGATCCCGTGTCACGCAGCTTCACAATCAGAGACGTTACCACTGAGCTATCCGGGTCGCGACTGACCTCCTGTAGGACTGAGATGTAATCACAATTGGTTGATCACTGGGTGGTGATCAATGTCATGTGTGCAAATCCTTATTTAGTGCAGGTACACCTTGCTGGCGAGTGCCAAGTAGCACGAAACCCGGGTCCAGGATTTCCTGTCGACTATCTCCAACCACCATCTAATCTCAATGCTTAATATGTCTGACTTCAGTTTGAGACATTACTCAAACATAATCAATAATGTTGGTAGGCGACTGCCTCAAACCCGACATAGTTGAACTCTAAAGGTCATAGTTTCTCAACAGAATTCATCGGAGCTAGTCCCTAGTTAACAAGTGATTATTAGTAGTATAAATAGCTTCTGAATAATGTTTTGATTGGATATCTTAACAAGTGGGAGTTATTTAATCATTCTAAACACAATTATTTCGTTTCAGACACTTTAGGAACTGGTATATAAATCTAACGATTGGGATCCCCTTATATAGCATCTAAAAAGGAATTATTGTTAATAACTTAATAAACTGTACAGATCTTAATGGATTTTGATTTATTCTGTACTAATCACTTACAATAACATACCAACTAGTTATGTATAAGAAAAACTATTATAAATTTTAATAGTATATGTAATGATTGTATTAGAAATACCATTTGTATTATATAAAAATCATTAGAAGCTAATGAACTTTATATGATTATAATTATGAAAGGGTCATATACATTTCATTCTTCATAATTTACCATCAACTCAAAGTAGAACAGTGACAAAAGAAAATGAATATGATTTAATGTGTTACTATGATAATTGTATAAAATGTATAAATCATTTTCATTTTTTAGTCTATATAAACTAATAGTTATTCTTAATAAGTAGTATCTTTACTCCTTTTAAAATTGTAAAATATTTTCTACAAAACAATAAGAAGTAAATATACTAGTTTTATTCTTATTAAAGTATGTCAGTCAGTTAGTCTTTCAGTCAGAACAACGTAGAACTTCGTACGTACATACATTGAGTAAATGTATTAAGCCTCAATGAAAATCGTTTAATTGTTTGTTTACTTACTGTTGATAAAATAAAAGCCTGAAGGTATTCTCTTTAGTACAGATTGATGTTTATGAAAGATATCAATAGAAAAAGATAGATTTCCAACATTCTGGTAAGAATATATAACTAATGAAGTGAACTGTATGGGATATAAGATAGTTATCACCAATAGTATTGAATGATTAGTACTTTATTGATTGAAGTCAAGGTAAAGAGGATCATAGGATCTTGATATAAACTACCATGGTTTTTAAGAAGTTTAAAAGTTTCTAGATTGTTATGTGTGAATTTGCGAATGTGTAACGCTAAGTGAATGCATTTAGAATGAAATAACTTTCATAAACCCTCTAGTTTTCAATAATTACCTACCTACTTATTCATGATAATCTTTTTCGGAATTGAACAAATCATTCGTTTAAATAAATTCTCTTATTATATTTATGTTTCTATCCCGTTTGTTGGGATGCTCTATATTGATGTATTCATAGCAGACAAATGTGCATAATTTTACATGTTTAAATGAAATATCCAGTGAATATCACACGCTTATACGTAGTAATCAGTTAATAAATAGACGGGAGGTTACCAGAAAATATTGGATTACTCACATTTATCGAACATTGAAAAAAGATGGATAATCTCACAACCTAATTTCCAAATATATAAATATTGGAGTTAACTTATATGTTATATATTTTTAAACAAATTTTTATGAATGCTAGCTGTATGTGGTCATACTTTACTATAAAAGGCTTAAAAGTTATTATGATGTTAAATACTGGAAAATGTAAACAGAAACAATTCAGTTCTTAGTATATTTTTGTTTTTATCTATCCTATGAATAAATGAAAGACAAATATATTGAAAGTCAAACATCTTATGTATATATGTTGAATGAACAAGTAAAATACCTTAGTAACTGATTAAGTTTACCAGATACTGACTGTTAAAAATATGTTTTAAGTATTTACGATTTAAATAAACACTGAAGAGATGATCTTTGTAATAGTGTACAGTCGGTGCTGAGAAATTTTACTGTAACGAAATCTATGGTACTAAATAATACCGTTATTAAAATCATAAAGCAAATCATCACTACTACTAGTGAATAATATTTTCATAAAATTGTCTGAATATGTCTAGGAAGGAGAAATAATTGATAAAAATTTATTAAAAGTTTAAGACTTGTTATCGATCACCGAGTAATCAGTTCAATGATCATTCTTCCTTTTGTTATACATAATATAAATATAAACTATTATGTTTTATAAGCAAAAATGGATAGTGGCTAGCAGTGGAATCCAGGACGCGCGTTTCGTCCTGTTTGGGGCTCGTCAGCTGGATGTACCTGCATCTGAGTTGATGTTCACTCTGGGACTCGAACTCAGTACCGTTCGCTTCAAACGCCATCCGTTATCCACTTAGCTACTGAGTCCTGATAGCCACTTGCTTGTGCAATGGGGTGAAGTTTAAAGATCAGTAAGAACACCCACATTCAGGATTTTCATCAGTTGGCACTTATTGCTTAAGGATACTGTGACATTTAGAAGTATTTGAATTATAGTATGAACTAAGAATCCCAGAAATAACGTAATCGGATCAAGAAATACTAGATAACCACAAACGAATGTACTGTATTTAGAATTCGAAATTAAGCATTCAACAAGTACAAAGTTATCGTTAGTTCATTCAAACACCACAGATACCATGAGTCATGGAGAGATTGCTACTGTTTAGAAGTTTAGATTAAAGTATCGAGGCGTTATAATCGAACAAATAACTAACTATGGAGCTGTTCTAGTATAGAATGACTTCTTACATACTTCAGATATTTATTATGGTACTAGAACACTTATGCTTTATTGTTTTAATATTTTGGTTTCTAAAGAAAAACACATCAACGAGTTAATATTAGGCACTATGTATTTAAATTATTCCCATAACGGTTTAGTAGTTAAGTCAATGATAGTTTTTAGCATCGACTAAGTTTTACAGATTAATCTGTATTATATATATGTATATTGTACCAACTAACATAAGTTAAAAGTATAAACCAAACTGGTAACTTTTTGCAACACGATATGAATAAACGATGTGCTTTTTAAAAAAAAACGTAAAACATTTATTAAGGTGTAAAGTATCTAGAATTATCGAATGTTATGGTACGATCTTATGAATGACCTTGAAAATATTGTATCATTCATCATAGATAACTTTCTATAATTTTATCTGATCAACCATTAAAATGTGTACCTAGATAGACTAAACAAAACAAAAACAATTTTACTTCAAATGAACTTTAAGTTCAGAGTATAATTTAAAATATGATTGGTATCACTCTATTCTATTATTTATAATTACCCTAACACTTAGGAATTGATTAACGGGAAACAATAAATTAACTGAATTAAATATTTTACACATTTTTTTACACTACTTACAAACAGTTAGTAGATAGTTGGTTTGTTAGGTATTTGGATTTTAAACGGCGAAATAATTTCCAGTATATTCGGATAATAATAATAATAATAATAATAATAATAATAATAATAATAATAATAATAATAATAATAATAATAATAATAATAATAATAATAACTAATTCGTTCCAAGCGCTTAACCAACTAGACCACAGAGCTGGCATCCAATGGTGTTAATGTCTAACTTCAACCAATCCACGAAGTTGCGCCACCGTATACCATTGTCTTCAGTGAGCTGATATCTCACAACACACCTGTTGAGCTCCACTGGCAACGGCTTCTCACTAGAACTCCAGGAGTATCTCTCGAAGCCAGTCACTAGTGAGTAGATGATGCCGGCTCAGTGGTCCAGTTGGTTAAGCGCTTGGCGCGAGACTGATAGGTCCTGGGTTCGAATCTCGCGGGGTGCGGGATCGTGGATGGGCACTGCTGAGGAGTCCCATACTAGAACGAAATAATTCATTATCAAACATATGAACTGTGAATGCAGGCAAAGGTAATGAATGAGCACTGTTAAACAGACTTAAATAAGAACAAAACAGCCGTTCAATACAGTCGAATTTTCACTGTTCATCTAAGCAATATCATTTGGTGATGTAAATTACTGTCTACATCTAACACATTATTGAACAGTGAAGAAAGTAATAACATTGAATTGTTAGAAAGTAGTATTATATAAACTTACTTGATTAATTTTAACTTGACTTTTGTCGATTTCGTTTGACATTTCAAACGGTGCAGTATTTTTATGATTTTGATTTTCATTAGAATTTGCAAGCTTCTTTGTATGTGTTGTATATGGTTTTTCATTACAATTTTTTAATGGTTTATCTGATGTGATAACATCTTCAGTGCACTCCTCTTGTAAATCTATATGATTATCTGGTGTATTTTCATCATTGTCAGGTGATAAAATGACTGTGTGAAATTTCAAATCTGTTTTTGTAATTTTGTTCTTTCTTCTCTTCGTACTTTTACATGAGTTAAGTAGTTTTGATCTAGGAAATAATGAGAAAACTGGAAACTAATGTACTTATATTATACAATATATACATATCTTAGATGTAGAATAAACATTTGTGAACAGAAACCCCTTTTTCAAATAAGACTACTAACTATGTGTCGTGTATTTTTAGTACTTATCTAAGGAATTTGCTACAAATGAGCTTGATAAATGGAAATTAAATATCAGCTTCATTAATATATTGTGCCTAAATGATTAAAATCTCCGTTTATTCTGTAGTGGCATTGGACAATAGCCACACAATCCACAAAGCTGTGAACACGAGACTACTCAGGAAATAGATATTCAATATTTAACGCGGAGAAATACCTAACGATGGAGAAGGCGCGAACAATGAATTGAATGGACTGGAGTTGATCGTATGGCATGGCTCGGCCATGCAGGCGTGGTCCATCTCAATGTTACTTTATATCTTCTATTCATATTAAATATATTGTTCTTTCTCTAGCCTAACCTTGTTCTACATCATGTATTGGTAATTGATACGATACAGTGAGTTGGTGTAGTCGATGGTGTGACTTCCACGTAAGATCTTATAGATTAGGCAGTTATATCATGACAAATCTACAAATTTAGGATTAGGTCTATTATTAGAGCAGTACTAATATCATAGTAGACCATAATTCTACATTGGTGAGCCCAACTAAAGAAACGCAACCTATTATTGTTAATCCTTATTTCCACCTTAACCTTCTCAATCGGATTTAATTTTTGTAAACCCACTATTCTAATAGTCCTTTGATTAATGGTCACATATATTATCGTAATGTTATATCTATTAGTTCACATAACTTACTAGCTCATTCGATAATAAAAACTGGTCGTCTATATTAACTAATTAGCTTTGATGGTTCGTTAACAAGCTTTAATAGCGTTTACATGCTTCAGCGACATAGGCTTGTTTAAGCATCAAGCTCTAGCAAATATGACCTGTTAATAGCGTAAATATACATTGACTAACAATGCAATCAAGGATTGAATAGTTATCTGGATCTAATAGTGTTCCTTCGCTTAACACCTCGTCCTGTTTTAAACTATGCACTATCCTGTAATATCTTTTCTTCCGACCACTGCCTGCCTAATTTCATATTCTCGAGTTCCATTGCCAAACAACAAGGGTGACACTTCTCCAAAAAAATTCGGTGAGTTCCAGCTATAAGTTTTCTGCAATCATGAGTTCATTTTAGATGGCTGATTCAATGGCACACACAATTATCTGGATTCATTCAGTTGTTCTGATCAGAGTGAGTCCCAAAAACCTCGACAGCATCAAGCACCCTGGAAGTGATTGCCATACTGCATGTTTTATTCTGGATGCTTTTGGATCATTACTACTCACGAATGGCGTTATATATGTCGTCCACTGAGTAATCTAATTTTCAAAAATAACCCAGGCGAGTTCAACTATTTTACTTAATGATTTCTTGTACTTAACATGTATATGTTTTCTAGTTGCTTTTGCCATATATTTGTAAGTGTCCCTAGGCTAAATGCATTAACTTCTTACGGAATGTTTATAACGCGTCATATTCTTGCCTGAAGTTTCATAAGCAGTCTTAACTTTAAAATTATCTTTCTGATCATGTTCATTATTTTCAAATTGTCATATACGTCAACAACCTGCATGTTAACCTGGCCCATACATGCGTTGCACTATATCTTCATGTCTTCTAAATTTAGAAATCATTTGAATCACCTTTAACATTTATCGATAAACCCATAGTCGTTGTTGCTAATCGTATTTGGGTTTATGGATTGGTTTATCATATTAGCAGCCTAAAATGCGAACATAGTTTAGATAATAAGATTAAAAATTTAGGTACTATCAACTGCACTAGTAAAATAACTAAATCCTCAGGTAGCTGTTTGCTAAACAAACGTTTAAATCAAAACTCCGTAGCCTACTAGAATTAACACTAAACGAATATTTCTGAATTGAAATTTATAATTAAATTAGGCGTCTCGGATTCTTTAACGTTATAAATTTCTGATAATTTCGAATCACCTAAAGCAACAATACCTATTTTTCCACTGACTAATCCTCAATCAACACTATAACTAGTTAAACATAATAGTTTCAGGATATCGTCATAAAGCATTGTCATGACTTGACAATCACGTAATATGATTGATAAAATTAATGAAACTATTAACAAAATCGGTCAGCAAATTGACTTATAATTATCACTAGTGTTGTTTTTCTTTTATCTTCATTCACTACAGATGATTACAGTATGTTTCTCTATCAGTTGCTCATTCAGTAAATATCTCAAAACCTTGTCAGTCTAATTGATGGTTTAGCGACACAATCATGCATGCAAATAATCAGTATAAGCAGTCGAGCAAATCTCCTGCAAACTGAAAACATCAATGTCGAATTTACCCCAACACTGACTAAGGTTCAAGCCATTATCATAGACATGAGTTGGGAGTGTACTCCCCTTGGTTACAACTTATGTTCTCCCTGATAATCACATGAGCATCACTCACTATTAATCATCTTGTAAAAACTTATTTAGCCAAATACATCTTGCAGCACCCAGTAATGTGACACATAAGCTGATTTCAATAACTTATAACCACTATATCTCAATTAAATCGTATTCCGCCTTATGATAAACTGCATACTTGCAACTAACTTGTATGCATCATCAGCGGTCAGGTATAAATATGTATAAATAGTCTATCGCAGATCAGAACATTGAGTCTAGAGCATGTCTCTTACGAATACACTCATGTTTAACGATTTGTTCCTAGCTATCTGTCCAAAATTCATATAATTATCACTCATGTATTTAAATTTTGTTTTGATAACCATTCATGTGTATTAGTAGTATTACTAAATTCTATCACGGTCAAGTAAAAATGAGGTTGAGGAAATCTCCCCGTAACTAAATAAACCGTATCAAACTAACTGGAACACTAGTTGGAATTCTTCTCCACGGTATACTTCTGTTCCTTCAGTTAGCCTACTAATACAGATGCAATTGGAATTCAACTCATATGGACAACTTACCGGCATAATCGTTATTTGATTTCATAATTTTAACCAAAACTAATACCAATATTAACATTTCTACAATATTCATTACTTTAATATTTCTAAACACAATATACTTACTGCCTATACGTTAAGTTATTAACACGCATCGTTTTATTATTATTATTGTAACCCCATTTTTTATAGTTCAAATAATCTTCAACCAAATTTTCATTTTAAGCGTGTTAATCATGAAGGCAGATATTTTAAGATTATTACATGTATTTCCCGACCAGATGCTGCTGCCTTCTTTTTGATTTATCTTTCAGCTTACCAATACCCGGAGGATTCTTATTATCCTTGGTAACCTCCGGCGCGCGACGATCCCATCCAATTTGGTATCGAACCAACATCACGTTGATTCTGGTGGGAGAGTAGTGTAGTGGCATTGGACAATAGCCACACAATCCACAAAGCTGTGAACACGAGACTACTCAGGAAATAGATATTCAATATTTAACGCGGAGAAATACCTAACGATGGAGAAGGCGCGAACAATGAATTGAATGGACTGGAGTTGATCGTATGGCATGGCTCGGCCATGCAGGCGTGGTCCATCTCAATGTTACTTTATATCTTCTATTCATATTAAATATATTGTTCTTTCTCTAGCCTAACCTTGTTCTACATCATGTATTGGTAATTGATACGATACAGTGAGTTGGTGTAGTCGATGGTGTGACTTCCACGTAAGATCTTATAGATTAGGCAGTTATATCATGACAAATCTACAAATTTAGGATTAGGTCTATTATTAGAGCAGTACTAATATCATAGTAGACCATAATTCTACAATTCTCATTAGTTTCTTGCAAATTACGTATTGTATACATTAGTAAAATGTGTTTCATTGAAATAAACGTCATTATACTCTTAATCTTAACTTATAACACTTTCTTTTATCTAATTGTTCCTATTCATTTAATGACAAAATATGTGTACTAGTAAGAAAGATTTTAAGCCAACCGGTGAATTGAACAAATGAAATCTGTTGTTCACAAAAACAAATATTTACTCAATCAAAATTGTAGATGACACTACACACACAAGTTCTTTGAAATTATGTAACTGAAAATCTTCAACATACTTTCTACATGATGATAAGACATGGTTGTGCTTATGACTATCAGAAACTTTTGAAATCATTTTGTATACTTAGTGCTTAGCACACACAGATGTCTAGTCTCAATAAGATAAACTCCTGGGTAAAATTGGCTTTTAACTGTTGATAGTAAATATACATATTTTGATTGTTGGAACTTTAACTAGTCAGTCGACTAGACCTTGTAGGATTCACAGCCATTTTTAAAAATAACTCGATAGTCCTTGTACATATATCTTACATACACATATTCGCTGTTAGTAGTCGAATTCACACCTAACATTCTGTACATAGAAGTATTGACATATTCAGACATCACTGTTCGAGCTGATGGTAGGTATAGTGACAAAATATCTTTTTCCCGAATTAAAAATTGCGCTTTTACACCCTACAAGCCAACTTAGACGTTTTCAGTTAAGAATCATGTACACGTAAAAAGAATGGGCACAGAAAATTCATGAAATAAACCAGGCTCTGCCTGGCTAGAGTAACAGATAATGGGATTAAACCACAGATAAACAAAACTCCAACAACCCACAATCTTACTCAAAAGTATTTTAAACGTACATTAGTCCAGGAACAGAACGTCGGTTGCTTTTTATTTAACTTCGATAACAGACTGGATTTCTTAGTGCTTCAAACAGCATATCATTAAAGGACCTTGCCAATAGTATGAGTATTTTGTAATGTTTATTACACAAGATTTCTCATAGTATACATGGATACTAGGGTAGATGATTTTACTAAAACTGACGTACAATGACTCCAAAAACCCCATAGGAAACCCCATAGAAATAACGCTAAGTACGATTTTGATAATTATTGGTTAAGATTTGCTCTTATACAGTTTTCTGGGATTTTACAAGGTTATCATTTGTGCTTCTATCTAAGGACACAAACATTGAGATCAAATATATAGATTATTCAATATTTGACTTCATTTCACTAGAAATTGAAGACTGGAATATAAGTTTCATTCTGCACGTAAATGACAAATGCTTGTAATCGATAACGTCAGAGCTATAAAAAATGAATTATATATATATATATATATATATATATATATATATATATATATATATATATATATATATATATATATATATATATATATATATATATGTCATAAGCAACGCAGAATCTGTCACACATGCAAACCGGTGCAACCTGCTACACCCTTTAACTACGATGAGATGGAGTCATCGGAACAAATCCTAGAATATAAGTGTTAACAGTATCAGTAACAGTAATAAAGATTAAGCGTACAGAGTATGGTTCGATACGAAAGAACAAATCTGCAGAATAGAAATTATAAAGTAATCTCAAAGCCCAGGATCTACGAGATGGGGGAGGGTGAATACATTTATTTGGTTGTAAACAATTTTAACCTATTTTGCACAAGGTCCTCAATCAATTAGCATGCACTTACCAACACTCTTGGATTAGACAGTCTGCAATATCACTTATGATACGTTACATAGAAGGTCAGACCCTGGACAGCATTGAAACTAACTTGTGATTATTACAGAGTATGTAGCGTTTTCCAGCTTATTTATTGACTACCAAACGCCTCGACTTTTAATTCCCCACGTATTGAATAAAGACAATATCTGCACTTTGATACTCTACAAACTTTAAAAACTGCCCATAACTATGTTCTTTATGATGTGAGTCATTCGTTTGCTGTTGTTTAACCAAACGATTATGGACAATAAAACAATGTGAAAGGAAACAGCATTCTATTTTTAGCACCCTGAGTTCCCGTCATTATGACCCTACAATCATATCAATAGTATTTGGAATTTATCTTCATAGTTTGAACAGTATGAGAGAAGTCATACGTTTGTACTCACCTCCTAAATATATGAAGAATTAAAATGCTTTAAGCAAACAACATCCATTTATAACATAGTTGGTGTGTCGCTAGCAGTAGAATCTAGGATCCGTATGTCGTCCTATCTGAGGCTCACTAGTTGAATATGCCAGCACTTCTATACTGATGTTCACACCGAAAATCAAATCTATTACCTTACGCCTCAGAACCAAAACACTAACAACTGCGATACTGAGCCGAGTCAATCACTAACTTGGTCAAATCAAACTTACATAAATCATGACTGATACACTCAGATTTGTATCCTTATAGTTACTCATCGGGATACTTCTGCACTTGTAGACTTACTATGATTCGTTAAAAAATTTTAATCGTATATTTATATATGTGTGTACATACATATGTTTTTTTAGTTAAACCACAATAGAATCTAGTTCACAATCATATTATTGATCCATGTGTCTTCTAACAGTTTTTACAATGGTTTTATAATAGTTGTTCTGCTACAAACTGAAATAGAGTCAGTGACACCAGCGTTAACAGCTCTACTCAATAAATATTTAATCACTTAGCCATAATTAATACCCTTACTCTGAGTGTAGTTTTCTCCATTCGGCGAGTTCTTTCAAAACGATATCACATTCCTTACGTAAATTAAATTCTTCATTCGTAATTGTTTCATGGTCCGAAACTGTTTTGATATTGTTGGTCTGTTGGCCACTAGGTTCATTCTGAGTTGGACTTCCTGCTTTCAAGCTGCATATATAACTCTTGTCCAAAGCTGAACTAGTTACACTTTCACTGTCTAATCTCAGACAAGCTGATTGTATTTTTTCAATCTTACCTGTCTGGAGTGAAAATCTTCGACGACGCAGTGCTGTACTAATACCTCCACATATAACTTTGCCCGTTGTAAGCTCAGAAACAAGCTCTTCTTCATCCGAGTTAACTAAAGGAAAAATGAAGAAATTATAAATATATTTAATTTTAGCTAACAAAACGCTTTTAATCTACTAAGCTGTCTTTGTTTAAATCAAAGTCGTTAGATTGAACGTCATCTTATAATTCAATCGCTTTTTAAAATATTGCAAACATATAAGTTTGCAAATGAGAAATGAGAATTAAAGTGTTATTGATGGAACAAATTGGCATGTTGATAAGCACCAAAATGTGATATATCATCATGAAAAATTATGAACGAATGTCGCACTCACCTCCCTTTTCCATCATTACAGACGAACTTCTAGAAGGCTTCAGAGTGTTATGACCATCCTTAGGTTCAGTAAACTGTATAGTGTTTTTCTGATACTTCTGCTTCAATGCTGATGTTGGTCTTAGACCTAAAGTTGAACGACCCGCTTCTATTGCCTCTCCAGTGACCAGAGGATATCCTGACTTTTCTCCGTCTACAATAGTTTTCTGAAAGTAATTTTATTGAAAATCAACTTCTAAAACATCTTTTTTCAATGCCGAAATTCGAAAACAAAGCTAAAGGAGAGAATGAGCCCTTAGTCTTCTAATAATATCCATCTTTTATTTTGTGACAATGGCGAATTCTTTGTGATCAATAAATCAGGGAAAATCATGGAAACTCCTAATTATAAATAATATTAGACATGATTGGGCATAAAACTGCCTAAGCCTTTATTTTTATTACTGACAAACATTCAATATTGTGATCCTGTATTTATATGGTACTTACACATCTTGATTCAAAATTTGTTTTTCTCCGTTTTTGATATACAGAATTATATTTTTTTCTGATGCGGATTATAATTATTTTGGCCACAATTATTCTAGACCTGTGAATCCCAGCCCAATATACAACCTATTAACATCTTAGGTATATAACCTTGAATTCTTAGGTTCTTACAACTTTACCATATTTTACTTTTAAATCAATCTCAAATAAATGTGACAAACCGATTTCAATTTCTATAAAACGAGCTTCATTAGTTTTCATTGAAATGAGAAAATGTTACAGTACACAGCAAATTATCAGCATCTTTTAATGTTCTCGTTTCTCCGAAGTTATAAAGAAAGCTTTGTATGGTGATGTTGTGATGTGTGCTACTGATGTCAACACATATAAGTAGTATGTACCACCAATCGAAAGTGGAATGCCTGGAGGCAGATGATTAAGAAGATTGAAGAGTAGAGAACGAGAACAGAGAGTGATTGGTGTGTGTGGTTCTCACGTTTTACCAAAATATTCCATAATGTTGTACTAAAATACATTAAGCTAGCCCCGCCTGTGTTCTCGTTCACTGCAATGTCACTATTCTATTTGATCTCTTTGTAGTAATCCGATTCCTTAAAATTGTTGAATGTAGTTGGGTTCTCGTAAAATAGACAATAATGAGGATAGTAAATTAACCATTGTAAGCAACCACAGCAGGTAAACTTCTATTTCTACACCTTGAATTTAAGAAAACAAAATGGCTCCATTTGTAAGTACCTAAAAAATGTATAGTGATTAATCACTTTTATAAGAGACCATCTATGTTACTAGACTTTTGGGTATATACAATTTCTGTGTCTTTCAAACAACTAGATAAAATTCAACCAACCACTGTTAGAATCACAGTGTCAATATCCAAAGAAAATAACTACATACATCTGAAAACCCTTTTCTGTAATCTTTATAAAACTAATTTTTCAGCGAATCTATTTCTAGAATCCAGGGATAAAAATTTGAACGTAATATACGTTTAAAGACTTTTTCCGACAAAACTTAACGGACAATTTAGAACCAAAAGCATATTATGGCTTTAAGGGTGGTTGGTTTTAATAATCTCAAAATTTTAATACATGTATGTAATCACCATAAGCCTACACATCTTTCTCCTAACCAAAGCACCAGCGAATCCTAAACAAGTGCATTACCTGTTCGATCAATCATAGAAATAAGTTGATTCAAGGATGATAGTTATGATGAAGCAGAAACGTGATAATTCACTTGAATTTTCAAATAAAAAAGATCAGTAGATGGACTCTCGGATAAGAATACATTCGCCTTACAAAGATCAAAATAAATAAGTGAAATTATATGCCTTATATATTATCAAACTGTACTAACTCTAGAAAAGCTAGAATGATGATTGGTGATGCACAAGTAAACGTATAATTTAATAAATTAAACGGTAATTTTCGAAAATCATTATTGTAACTAACATATCTTATTTCGCGTATGTTTTTCACGAGTACGCTTTAGTAACTGTACACCATACAGTTTTGTAATAAGTACAGAAACATTAGAACCTTGTTATTTCAACTCATATGTATAAGACGTACAGGAGAATAATCGAAACAGAGTCTCGTAGAGAAGCAATAAGGTATTTGGGGTAATATTCATATTTGTTTACTCCCTATTCTTAAACTACAGATTAAATTTCTTCAGACAAAGCCAATGTTGGGAATTTTGTGATATTAAAGTATGAGGAATAGTTAACGTACCGCTTTACCAGATAGTAGACCAATTTCTTTCAAGAGGATGTTTATATACTCCCATTCACTATCGAACTTGGTTATATCATATTCCCCTGAATGTGGAACAGGAATTTTCTGTATTGGAATGTCATCAAGGGTGGTTATCTGTGGTAGTTCTTCTCTCACAACTTTTCTGTACCTCTAAGACATTATAAACCGAAATATTACTTACCACTTTCCCACCATGTTTTGTAACGAAAGGATTTCCTTCAAGAGTAAGGGAAGTAAGATTGTGACAGAGACGAAGGTATGACAAACTGCTTCTATCTTCAATCAGGTTGCTTCATTATGTTAAATTAGATGTACCAAATTACCCCTCAAGATCTATTACTTCAATATTGTCCAACAGTGCACACGGACTAAGATCCGACACTCCATTGAAAGCTATGTATAATTCTACTAGTTTTGTAAAACTTGATAACCCATCAAGGCTAACAAGACAACAGCGAGGCATCCAAATGACCTCCACATTGTTGAGAAATGTACCAAGATCTCTACATATGGTTAAATTGGAACATAAAGCTCACCGAACAGACGGAATATTACTATTAGATAATCTTAAATGTCTCAAGTTCGGTAAATATGTCCGACGTTTGCTACTGACATTCGATCAGTATCAACCTCAAGGTCTAAAGTAAAAACCATGCTCAAATCCTCGAATCCGGTCAACTCCCTCTAAATGAATGCCAACATTAAAATATATATATATATACAAGTCTTTGCTCAGATAGGAATTCATCAGTTCGGGTTTCAGATAGCCGTTTAAGCACAGGTGTTGGATTGACTGTTTTCTCCTGAATCTCTATTATCTGCACCAATGCTGATTTCGGGCGGATATCACTGCTAAATGTATTATTTTGTAATTAGTAAATAATTATTTATGCTGAAAGATTGTACAACCTGGCTTGTAGTTCAGTCATTGCCATCTCAATATTGATGCTGTTCTTATCATTTTATGTGACTCTCACTCTAATGGAACATTAGAAACTATATTACATAGACTCATGGAGAAACATGTTAGCTGTAATTTACACTAGCAACGCCTTTAAAAAGCTGCTCGTCGAGATGCAGAGTAAAACAAAAATCAGCATCTTTGTACTGGCTTGCATAAACCGATTGACTTTTTTGCGCTTGCTTCTTGTTAATCCTATATGACTCCAGGTATTTGGTAATATCTAATGTGTGCTAGTCTAGTAATTCGACTTCATTAATTTTAGTCAGTTTCGTAATTATTTGTGGACTTGTATATCTTTTAGTCTTAGTAAAAGAGTTTTCTTCTCAGGACGGTATGGTTTCTGAACATCAGCAGCTGCCACACTGTCAGTCAGCAGGTTGGCTGGTTGCAGTGTGGAAATTATAACTTGATATTTCGTGTGCTAAAAGAAGACTATTGTTTCAACACATATATGAACAAAAAGCTATTGATCAGCTGGTTATCCAAATAGTGCAAACAGACCTTAGTGTAGAACTTAAAAGGGAGTGATATGGTGATGAGAGAGATGGAAATTAGTTTGTAATATATGATGAGTATAACAGTAAATAAGTTACGAGACATAATTCAGACACAGCTGGTTCAAGTAGGAAATGGTGTAGCGGTAAAAAAATCCCCAAAATAAATAGCTCTGTAAGTTTTCAACATTGGATGTTGACCAACTTAATTTTAATGGACTCACCTAGCTGAAGGTGCTCGGTAATGCATCCGCACCAAATCACGAGTGGGAACGCCGTGCTCAACATCTTCTGCAATCGCTAGCCAGATTAGATCAGGCGATTCTCGATATATTGATATTACATCAAATATATCTTCCAATCTCTATGATTCTGTCTTTTGATTTCTCTTGGTGGGTACAATTCATATTATAAGGTGTTACTGGTTAAAGTGTTGTCAAACAGTGAATACCTGTGGCATCTTCAATGGAAATCTATGAGTCGCCTCGTGTTGTAATTATCCGTTCTTGAATCTGTCTACTTAGAAAACTGTCCATTTGGTTCAAAAATATTGTTTGATCATTTAACCAGTAGAATGACATTTTCCTTTTTTCAAGAGGTTCCAGTAATTATTGAGGAGCATCAGAGCCAACAAACGTGTGTACTCCTACTCACACCTAATGATCTGAATGTTCAGGACAAGCTCGTGTAAACCAGTCAACTATTTTCGAGTACTTTGGCTTTTTATCAATATTCGCTTCGTTGTTTTTGTTCAGGAATCGTCAGCAAGGTGAAAAAACCTGGCTTCAGACGTTAGATAACCTTGAAAAATAAATGATTTTTCTTCAAAATATATCGAATGCAAACCACCATGTGAATTTACAGAAGCTGTTGCAGATAAATGAATGAAGACACTGAAATCTACACAATATCTGTAACCGTTCATATAAAGTGGAAATGTAAGCAAAGAAATACGTCAGCTCAAGCAAGATTTGGACACTGTTATTGGATATTGGATAAAGCGCTGAGTATTAAATCAAGGTTGCTTCTGGTCCTCGTTTTGTTTAAGTAACTTTTAGTGATGTTATTTGTTTTCAGATCGTGTGTGTTTGATAAGAACGTCACTTAATCACTTTTCTATCGCTTCCATAATAAGCATAACCTCATGATTTTGAGTTATACATAACCCTGGCACTATAGAGACAGCTATTAATGTTCACTTCGTTCATCATCTATTGTCAGTAACGTTAACTGTGGTGGAAAAAGACCTTTGGGGGTTAAGGTTTCGATTTCTAGACATTGCCTTCCAATGTGGAACTTTTTGGAAGGATCGCACTACTACCTGGACTGGGGTAAAGGCGACAATACATCAAATTGTCCCTTATATTCACACCAACATATAAGGACTTTTCAGAAATTCCCTTTAGTTTCGCATCTAATTCCCATCCCTTGTTTATCTAGGTTGTTGCAACTAAGTGGCTAGATTTCAATCAACTGGGGTTATAACCTGAATAGACGTTGCAAAGGATCTTCAACTGTCTGTCAGCATTAAGACCTAACTTCAAATAAATTAACTGATTAAAACTTACTCGTTACAAATGTACTCTGATAATCAGTGTACGTCTCGTTAGTCCCAATTAAGGTTGTTTTTTGTCGAATCCGGAAAGTGTTGGGCTAGTTGTTGCTCTAAACTTTTACTCCTTCGGGGAGTATGTTCAACGTCACTCCTCCCCCATCTCAAATGTTTACTGTGGTGATTCTAATAGGGTTGTAAAATGTTATTATACTATGTGCCCACGAAGATAGTTTGACTATTTGAATCGAGGATCTGATATCTAGTCTAACTGTTTAGAAGATCGTTGTGGCCTGCACTAATTTTGATTTATATACTGTCGGATTGTTTACTCGTCGTATACACTACATCCATCTGGCTCCCACAAGGTAACGTTTAACAAATGTGAACTGTATTTCCCACGAAGTTCCAGTAATTTATCCCCCTCAAAACAGAATAATGGGTTGGTGCAGCCGCATAAATAAATCTTCAACGTTTTCATAGGCTTTCAATTCTAGTGATAGGACTTGATAATATATGAGTCAGTGTTACAAAAGTAACTGCTTGAGTAAATTTTTCTTTGGGCTCTGTGGTCGACTATAACTTACTTATTCAGTCTCTGTTCCAGTAATATGACAACCACCCACACACCTCACGAAAGTGGTTGTGACTGGATTACTCAACTTTCAATCATTAGGCTGGAAGTCCGAACCTCGTTCCACTCCTTATATCAGTAGTCGGATAGTATTACTACTATTCACAAAAAGGAAGCTGACAGGCGAACACATAAAGCTGTACTTAGTAAGTGATCCACATGGTTATGATTGTCCCGGAAGTATTTAAATTAATCTTATCCACAACCCAACCCGTTGTTAAAATCCTATAATTTTCCTGCTTGTATCACTAGTGCTAACTATTCGAATAGGGTGACTTATTCTGTGTTGTTCTGGAGTCTCACTCCAAACCACGTCTTCAAGATCCGAGTGTTCGAATCCTTTATCGAGTCGGACAAGGTCCACTAAAATTTATTCTTTGTCTCCCTCCAAACTTTGGTCATAAGAATTAGTTTAATTTCAGTCTACCAATTTTATTCGTTCCTTTTGATCCCTACTACATATGCATCTGCATAATTCACTACATCAGCACACCGTCAAGATAGTATACCGAAATGGCAGACCGCTTCATCCCGTAAATTTTCATCATCTGATGTGCTTAAGACGCTATTCATATCCAGCGAGTCCTTACTTTGGTGGCCAGTACAGGTGAAGCAGGGATGGTTTGAAAAGAAGGCTAAAGGTGCCTAAACCAAGAGTTGGTGTAAGCCCGTGCTGTCACTGATTTCAGGTATAAACCCTGTGAAAGTGTAAACTACTTGCTTGTAATCTACGTGATGATTGCAATAATAAGCTCAAAATTTTGAGTGACATGACTCGACATTTAGGGCGTTGTCGAAACCTGTACTTAGTACATGGATTCCATTGATAGTCGAAGTCAAATTGTTAGGTTCTTTTTCCAAGTGAGTTCTGAGGATCTAACGTCTCCTGGGGTCGACTTGCATCTTGACTATTGTTTGCCTTTGTCGGTGACGCCACCCTCTGGAACAGAAATCAGCTTGTTGCTGAGCTTTTTCTCGTGGTGGGGCTGCCGGTAATTTGAAGGTATCAAGCAGAATGTCAAGGGGAAGATTTACTCCTGTTGATGGGCGGTCTGAGGCTATCCGCTTCCGTAGTTGGTTTCGGTGTCGAGTCCACGTGTCTCTCCCCACCTTTACCTCGTACATAACTTGGCCTAGTCTTCCAACCACACGTGCTTCGGTCCAAGGACCATGATTTGCTCTGTAATCTCAAGCGAACACAGGGCACCCAACCTCGTACGTTGGTAGCTTCTGAGACTTAGTCTGAGATGCTGGTGGTGTGGTTCCTGGGTGCATCACAAATACACATATTTTATATCATGGCACGAATAGTATGCTAGTTCGTCAAAAAAGTATAATGTGCACTAACGGTCTTATGTCGAATGGAGTCAGTCAAATAAATGTCATCGTACAATACACTAAAAACAAGTCAGATTTTACTTTATGATTTATGTCTTGTTGGTTTTCTTTATCGTTTAGGATGACACAAAATACCAGCATCCCAGTCAGTTATCCTATGATGCCTCCGATGGATGATTTAAATAAATATGCACATTTATTGCAAGTTATTGAAGAAATGGGACGAGATATTAAACCAACCTACGCCAATAACAAAAACGCCGCAGAAAGACTAAAAAAGAATATTCACACTGCTAGGATTCTAGTCAGAGAATGTGTTTCAGAACTTGAACGTGTTATGAAAGCGTAGCATTTTTGTCTTCTATCCTTTATCTATTGTATTCTTCAATTAAACAAAACAAAATTCCATCTTTTGCTTTCCAACTCATAATGTACATTGTGGGTTCGTTCTACAATATGTTTTTCGCGTCGATCAGTGCCTTTCAACGTTAAAATGTCTTCGGGATATCTAATAGTTTTGTGTATTCGTTTCATTGTCATATATAAATGGACTAAGACTGTTGGTATAGGCTTGTTCAGTACTTGTTGGTACTGTTTTATTTAACTTCATACGGCTAAGTGAATTAAACATCTTAGAGAAAGCGCTAGCACTATGTGTCATAACAAATATGCTGTAGCATATATATATATATATATATATATATATATATATATATATATATATATATATATATATATATATATGTCGACCGCTTCACTTATCTTGGTAGTCTCATCAGCCCTTGTGGTCTGGTGTGACAAATCTCAGCACGGATACAGAATGCTCGACTAGCTTTTGCCAACTTGCGTCATTTATGGCGTAGGCGAGATATCCGTCTATCAACCAAAGGACGTGTTTGCTGCGCAGCAGTTCGTCCCGTCCTTCTTTATGGCAGTGAAACATGGCCGGTAAGAGTAGAGGATATTCGTAGGTTACTAGTATTCGATCATAGGTGTCTTCGAAACATTGCTCGTATATCATGGGACCATCGAGTAAGTAACACAGTTGTTAGGAAACGGGTACTAGGTAAGGATGGCAAATCAATTGATGAAGTAGTGAAACTTCATCAGTTGAGATGGCTGGTACACGTGTTACGTATGCCCAACGACCGACTACCTCGACGTGCTATGTTCAGTGGTATAGGAGTAGGTTGGAAGAAAGCTAGGGGCGGCCAAACCAAAACATGGCACAAATCCATGAAGTCACTGACAAGTGGACTGAGTCATGTTGATAGGTGTAGACTACCTGGTTGGGATCCGCGAGATGATAGCAACCGATGGTTAGAGACCCTGAATGACATGGCTCAAAATCGTTTGCAATGGCGCAGGTGCATCCACTCTCTGTGTTCTCCCAAATTCTAATCTTCTGAATTCTTCATGTCCCTTTTTTCCTCTTTCCAAATTTATTTCACTGTATTATACTCTTTAAATAACATCTCCAAACCCTAATCTTCCCGATTACTGCTTATACTCTTATTACCTCTACCACTACGGGATTTGAATCGACAACTGCATCTCTGTGCTAATGTGGTGTGGCAACTCGAACTGATGTACGTACGTACGAAGTTCTACGTTGTTACTGACTGACTGGGATATCACATAAAATGTGCTCTAAACAAGCGATCAGGCGGACAAAACAAAGATAACTGAAATGAATGGATCTTAAGTATATATATATATATATCATCGTACATGTATGTCAAAAAATGTCTTGAACCAAAATTATAGTATTTAGACCAAATTTATTATTATTATTACTATTATTTATTTAAACACATAAATATTGGTACAGGAGGGCACCAAATATATATGCGCCACACAAAACAATGAGGATTTGCAGAGAAGGAAAAAAAGGTAAGGAACGTGAAAAAAACGATAACGAATAGATTAGTGTAAGGTAGTGTAATAATAATGGGGGAAACAGAAACGTACACTCAGAAGAGATCTTTCAGTTAAGGAAGAAGCAACCACTTTTTATGAAGAAAGTAAAAGGTGACAACAGGATCGCCACTGGCTTCTATTCTAAGCCATATCTGATAACGTCTCTACTCGAGAACGTTTAGATAGAACCGGATTTCCACCATAGACGAGCTGCTGTATAAGTCGAAAAATAAGGATAGACAGAGTAGGAATAAAAGAGAGTGAATAAATGACGTAGTAAATAATAATAATAATGTGAATCGTTTGATTAATAGTTGAAGCAAAAAAAAGTATTTGCCATAACTATCGACAGTTCATCATATTTGTGTGCGGGCTGTGATACAGCTCGGATGCCCAGACCGAAGCAGGTGGTTATCTTAGGGGGCCACACCCCGAGCCTTCGACCTGAAGGTCTGATCCACAAGGCAGTGGAGCATCGTGAGGAGATGCTGTCCCATGGTAGCCGGTGACCAACGATTGGTTCATACACCATTTGTTCCCGCAGGATACTGGAGCCCATGTGCACCATTGGTTTGGAATCCGGTTAAAGCGCCGGACATTCGCTTTTCGTCCTCTCATTTTCGTAAACAACACCAAATAGACGATCGTCAAACATTCATACAAGTCCATGTGTACATAGGTAAAAGTTCTCAGTTACATATGAGAAGTGCAAAATAACTAACATCGCAATTATACATCTGACTGTCAAGCATGTCTCATATTTCTTTTAGAGAATAGGTGTACAAACTGAAAATAGTGAATTGGTTACTCCCAAAAATTAGGTCATATTCTCAGTGGACCACTCCTCGAACGCCCACCTAAGAGTCTAATCTACAGAATATTGGTGCTATGTTAGAAGATTGAGTCTCATATACGTAGCAACCAAATAGCATTCGCTCTCACATTAAAGCAGTACGTAGGGCTTCCTGATAAGCTAAAAAAGTCCCTATGCATTTAAGAGTATTTCAAAAGGGGAAGTGAAATTACTTTACCGTCAAGCATACGAAGATATTTGGGGATGGTGACTCTGTATTACAATTCTATTGGAAACGCTGTGAACGCAAGACGAGAATTAATTGCATACTTTGTAAAGGATGCGATTAGAGATTGTATGCAGTGGGATCCATTTCCGAAATCCTGAATGGTAAAAATGGGGAGTTTTTTAATACCATGAGAAACCCATTTTTCTGCTTGTAGCCGAATTAAGTACTTAACTGTTGAAGTTGGTAAGACTAATTAAAACAATTGCTTGTGTTTACAATATTTGCTATATATTTCTACAGTTGTCAACGAACACATTAATGTTCACAATAACAAACAGATTATTAAGGAGATAATGGAACACTACATAAACATTTTGTAGTTAGATGAGGATATAAACCGACAATCTTTTTAGCGACATTGCCTAAATAATTAAAATATCTTCAGTTTAACTGGTAGCTACAATAAAAACAAACTTCTCGGTTAGACTAATTTATGGACGACTCTAAAGTGGCCTTGGGGATATCCACCAACTTACTAGCGCTAAATGAGTCATAAACCTATGTGAAGAATATGGATTATGATTTGTAGTTGGTGGTTAGGGTTAGGAATTAAAAAGGGTTTTTATCACGAACTGATGTCAGCTGAAATGCTAGAACGCTATTTAGTCAAATGTGTGAATGAATTTTGCGCCGAAATCAAAGACCTGTTACCTTAAGTCCATATGCTATAGTCTTGCCGTCAAAATATCGTACAGTGTCCCATACACATGTCATACGCAGAAATAACACTGAAAGTAGCTAGAAGCAATTAGCTAATCGATCAAAGCTAATGTAATGCAAGAATGAAGTTCAGTTAATCACGAATGGTATTACGAACTGGAAGACGAGTGGGGATATGTCCGAAAGTTGCGTTCCTAATAGATCCTGTCCTGCTTCAATTCAATTCCTTAAACGTAATTATGTTGAATTTATGTCATTGATAATAAACCAGATATCTTTGTAACTAAACAGACCGAAGTATTTAACCAATACTCCATGTCGTCCACTGAAGCTAATCAGTATCTCTGACTAAAATTCAATCTATGTTTAGCGAGTTCATTAGCTCAAATGTTCTGCTAGTCATTACTTGGTTCTTCCCAGTACTGCCGTTCAGTGAACACGGCTGCAGATCTTTCCGTAACATTCAGAATTGCTCATGCTGAAATCGGTGGTCTGTAAGTTAGAATTGTCCCAGTCCTAGACATAAAACGGCCTACTTTGGTCTTATTTCTGTAACTTCAGCAAGGTAAATCATAAAACAATACAAATCTTAACACGCTTGCAAACTATAAGTGTATTTTACCTATCGGACTAGTAATCTATTTTGAATACACTTTTATGATTAGATTTAACTAGAGATTTGAGTAATAAGGACAATACTACATACAATCCACATCTCATTAATCATTCCATACGAACAACTTTATTTATAAAAGCATCAAGCGATAAGTTACTGGGACTGTACTATCAAATAAAACGACTACATCAGAGGTGTAGTGTTATGTTCCTATTCGGACCTGGATGGTGAGTCTTAAAAAATAAAGTTGTGCTCAACGATTTCTAAGCCTCAAAATATTCATAAGTACAAGCCAATTGGAAACAGCATTAAATTAATTAATCATGCTATTGGTGAATGAAAGAAAAAGTCACTTATGCTAAAAATTTTCAACGTTTTACATTTTCCAAAACATATCAGTACTTTTGCTTAACTAAAACACGAGACAGTCACAGTTAGCTAAAAAATAAGCAATGTTACAAGCTTATTATTTTTTTGCAAGTAACGAATACATGTATAACAAAATATATTGGAAACAATACATGGAAAGCAAAAAAATAAAATATTAACACGATAACAATATGTTGAAAAAATTACAGAATAGATTGCCATATACAGTGTTATCGTGAAGTAATAAAACCAGTTTAGCAGAAAGCAAATTATCTGAGAAAGTAAATAAAATTATGTACAGGATATAAAAGAGATATGTTCAATGATAAATTCTAACCTTATAATACAATTATACAATATATTATATACAAGACAATACAAATTATTTAGTTAAAATCTTGTGTGAAAGAAAAGCTTATAGAAATTTAGCAGCTCCCGGTGATAAAGTAATCATTGCTAATTTAGTAAGAACAGGAATAGAATGACTAGGTGGTGATTTTTCGAATACTGAATTAGAATTATTCAATTGTTTACGCCTTTTTGTAGGTGTACATTCATTATTATCACTACTATTTACATTTTTAACACAATTAAACGATGCTCTATCTGGAATTGGCGATAATTTCACGTGAACAATAGGCATATCATTTTCTAATGGCTTATTTATTTTAGTTGATGAAGTTAATGGTGAAGAACAATGAGATCTTGAGGGTGAAC